GAGAGGAGTCGTTCACTGCTGAAACACAAAACGCAGGAGATGTTTTTGGTTTTSTGCGTGCATTTGTTTTTCCTCGTTTTCACGCTATTTTATGAATCATTGCGTGGGTTTCAATGAAAATTTAATCAGATTTACAGTCAGAAGAAAGAGAACTGGAAGCCAGAAGTAAGCGCCTACAACTAGACTACCTGAGGTTTATTAAATGAGCAAAAATGACCATAACTTACTGCGCTTTTAGATAAACATAAAAAATTGGGTATGATAGAAGCTGGGATAAACCCAACACACACACTGATTGTTTATTTTAAACATGCAGCAGTTTATACAAGTGTGCGCTTCTTTCCACTTATTTTTGGACATGTAAACTAAATCAGCAAGACGGAGATGTACTGTTGTGTATTTTTGTCTGATTTATTTTTTAATCTTTTTCTTCCTTGAATAATCTTTCATTATTCCGTACGGTAACCCATCGGTGTCGCTTGTTTTGGATCTAGACGCGCTTGAACGTAAAATAAGTTTTTACGTCATGACGTCAGAGCGTACGCTTCAGCGTGTGCTCCTCGCGCGCTTCCCTGAACTCCGCCATAGGAGTGTTTACATGTCGGAACAAAGTGTGGGGCCTGTTTCTGTGGGCGGGTTCGGTTCTGAGTGTTCGGAATGATAAAGACCGATAAGATTCTGCACCTGAAGAGCTGCCGGGGCCGGAAGGTTCGGGTGGTTCGGGAGCATTACGTCAGGGAGCGGGTTCCCTGCTTCAGCGCTCGGTGTCAGGCGGACTGTCCGAACGGTAGAGTCAGCACCACAACAACACCAGAACCCGGTCTAGTTCAGGTCCAGGTACTACAGAACCGGGTTAAATCTGGACCGGGCTATAAATGTTTGGGCCGAATTATTTTAAAATGATAAAAACTCAATAAAACACAGTTTGATGGAGGAAAGCGGTAAATATGTTGTTAGGACAGTTCATCCAGCTTCCTGGATGGGAAACCCTTTCAGAATAAAGGTCCAGTTTTATTTCAACTGTTTTATTTGGGAAACCCTTTCAGAATAAAGGTCCAGTTTTATTTTAACTTTTATTTGGGAAACCCTTTCAGAATAAAGGTCCAGTTTTATTTTAACTTTTATTTGGGAAACCTTTTCAGAATAAAGGTCCAGTTTTATTTGAACTTTTATTTGGGAAACCCTTTCAGAATAAAGGTCCAGTTTTATTTTGTTAACTGTTTTATTCGGCTCCTCCAGGTTTACTGGTTCTACACCAGTGGTTTCAAYCCTGGTCCTCCAGGCACACCGCCCTGCATGTTTTACAGGTCTCCCTGCTTTGACACACCTGACTGAAATGTTTAACTACAATCAGTTACCAACTGAAATCAGCTGTGTTGAAGCTTGAAGTTTCAGTTCACAGTCTGGTATAAAGTACCACAAAGTGATACTTGAGTAAAAGTACAAGTATCTTATCAAAAAATGACTTTGGTAAAAGTTAAAGTCTCCTTTAGGAATATAACTTGAGTAAAAGTGTTAAAGTATGTGATATTTGTTGTAGTTAAGTA